TATTTATATTTATAGTTATGTGTTTATTTTGTATTGGTATTGGTATGTGAGGATGGATCCGCGATACACAAATTATAAATATATTTATTATATTGTGGGTACTTGGTTTCTCAATCACGTCTTCGATAAGTCTTATTGATATTTCAAGCTCATTTCAAGGGTTGAGTTATTACTATTCTCTTTTATTACTTAATTTTTTTTATTTATTTGTTGTTATGAGGTTTATTTATAGATTTTTTTATGCTAAATTTTAAATTGGTGGGATTGATCAAGAAATATTTGTTTCCGTGTTGTAAGAAGTTATTTTGAATATAGTTAATTATTGGAAATGTAATTTTTATTTTAGTTTAAATTTTGCTTTATTAGATTGAAATTAATTGTTCAAGTGAAGCGTAAGTTTTTGAGGGTATGTAAATAAAATATTAATTTTTCTATGTTCAAAGTTGATTTTTGAATTTACCGTCTTTTTTACTTTATAAACGTCATTTTTTAATATACTGTAGTTTTTGAGAGTAACGACATCTAGCGTAAGTAATTTCAAGTTATTTAATAGTCTAGTGGTGTTAGTTTTTATTATATATTTTCCATTTATTTCATGAAAGAAAAATTAATTTTGCTGAAATACATTAAAACTTAATAAAATTATATTAATCTTAATGTATAATTATGATTTATTTATCAGGGTCGCAAAAAATGTATTTTTTTGATGATTTATTTTATATTTAATCAATAATTAAATCATTAATGTTTAATCAAAAATTATTTGAACGCAAAATTCAAGGTATTTAACAGAAAAAATAAATTTTTAATTAAAATATTTTGTACAAAATTAAAAATTAAAATATAAATAAAAAATTTTCAAATTCAATAATTTGCAATCCTGACATTATTGCCTTTAAAATAAAATTATTTAAAATTTGTTCCACAAAATAAATCATTATTTATGATGTCTATCATAAGTTAATAATAAGAAAATTTTCTTATCTAACAAAACAGAAATTTCTGAAAACTCTAAAAATTATTTTGTATAATTATACATCTATTAACGCCGTAAAAATCGCAAAATCTGCTGATTTTCTGCTAAAATTTCTCCTTTATAATTAGACTATTTTAAAAATTTCGAGTATTTTTAGTATACTTCAACTATCTATGATTATCAAACTAGTTATAATTATTACATATCAATATCTAATAATAAATAATTAATAATAGCAATCGTATTATTTGAGGGTAATAAACACTCGTTCTTTAAATAGCTGAGAATGTGTCGTTACCAGAAACCGTCTACATGTATTCATGTAGGAATTAAATAATATAATATGTTTTAATACTTTTCAGCACAGTTCAGATGTATTAGTATTAGTATTATAGAGCTAAGCGACTGATGAATATTTGTATATCACGAAAACGAAATTAATGTATAGTATGTAGTATATATATTTAATATAAGTAGAGTGAGAAAAAGAAAAAGATAATGAAAAAATATAAAATGTATGATATATAAGTATTATGAATGTTTGATCACTATGCGAATGCGTGTTGCTTTAACGAACCTTGGCTCCAAAGCTAATCGCCTTAATTTGTCGTCGCTACCATAGACTAGTGTGGTGTTAAACTTAATGTCATGTTCTAAATATAGTTCTCTTAATGTTTTCATTAAAAATACTTAATAATTCCACTCCGTTTCATTTCACTTCTTGTTTTCTTTTGTTCGCAAGACTTTACTTATCTTTACTTTATTTTGATTAAACGGAAAATACAAATATAATTATAAACACAAGTATGTATACCTATATTTTTATGTCATTACTGTATTCAGTTGAAGAAATAATTATAAAAATAAGTTTCATTGCAAAGTTTAAGATCATTGCCCGCGATGTTGTATATTAAGTGGTTCTCTTATGCAAGAAATTAATGAAGATCAAATTAAACGTAGGCTGGGTATCAAACTAAGTTAACATAAGATATTTTTCCCAAGGAAATAAGATATTGTTGTCTTAAATATTAGCGAGGAGATTCTTTCCTCATCTCTCGCTTTCTTATTAGTGGGAATGAATGCGCGTTACTTTGCGAGTTAGCCAGCCAACAGTTGCTCCAATTGAGGGTTAATTGAACGTATTTTAGCTGAAACTTACTGCACACGCGAGACACTTTACTTGTACATATATGCTTCTTATATTTCTTCTTTCATTTTAGAGACATTTGTGAGAGTATGTTAGATGAGTGATTACTTCTTCAAGATTAAAATCATATAATACATTTTTTTTAAATCACTAGTTGTATAAAATAATATTGTGATTTATAAATTTTCTGTAATCAAAATGTTTTTGGGCAATTTTGGTTATTATTTGAGCATAATTTGATTTTTATTGTAATAAATAAAAACTGATTGTAGAAATTATATAATAATATTGGTGCGGTAAAATTTTTATGATTACTACATTGTTTGATAAAATTTTAGTAATATTATAAGAAAAAGATTTTAAAGAATTTAAGAATAGATAAATTTTTTTTATTTTATTTTTTTTTACACGCTCATATTAGAATGATCTGTATGCATGTCATTTTTACCGATTTTAAACGTATTATTAATTTTAAAATTTGTATACGTATCAAAGACCGTTCTAGTGTCCTGACCAGAATCACCAGGACAAAAAAAAAATGACAAATTTTCCAGGTTAAACATACACCATCCATAAAATTACAATAAATATTGCCCTTATTTTTATTAAATATAAAATATAATTCACTGCCTCTGTTTTTTTCATCACAGTAAAAAGTATAAGATAATTTTGAATGATTTTCAATAAACTTAAAATAAAAATGACTAATTAAAAAAAAAATCATTTATTGTAAAAAAATCGTAAAGTGTCTTTTAAGATACTTTTATAATGAATTTACTTTTAAAAATATCTACCAGTAAAATAATTACAACAATTTCATCAAGCAACCTGCGCTTTCGATAGTATAAAAATATCGTTAAAGTATATAAATAAGAACTGGATATACAGAAAATTAGTATTAATAAAGGTTTTTAGAAAAAATATTTTTTCATTTTCAAAAATACAGAAAGCATACAGAAAGCAAAATAAAAATTTTAAGCTTAAAAATTAAAAATCTTGTATGTTAGCACTTAAAATAATTATTTTGTATTTTTTTTCTAAAAAGTATAAAGAATATGGGCTATTATTAAAGAAGTTATGAGTCAAAAACAAGATGGGTTTATTGAAGAATACTATAAAATTTCAAAAAATTGATAGAATAAAAAATAAAAATCTTTGAAGCCGTATTTGGTGTAGAGTGCCCCAGCAAAAAATACCCACGACGAGGAAATTTCCCTTACTACTACCCTCGTGCTGTTGGTCAATTTTCCGTGGAGTAAAGTTAGATTTTCCCCCTTGCGTACAATCCACCATTCCAGATTAGATGCAAAGTATTAAAAGTTAAAACAACGAGCGTTCTATGTTCTATATATCTAGCGCGCCAATAAAAGAACTCGTTAACTAGTTACTGGTTACTAGTTAAGATAAAAAAATAATTGGCTAACGAATTTTTTCAGCAGCAGCAGCCGATACTTAAAGAGCTAACACGATACAAGATATTATTCTATCGACAAGGCATTTGCATGAAAACTGCTGATTCCTCTGACCTTCGCGATCTATTTATAGTTTGCTGTGGCTGTCGATGCCCCACGCGGTCTGTTGGAAGTGTTCATAGCCTCTTAACCATTACATCCACACTTACACTACTATACAGTCCCTTACTTATACACCTGAATATCAACAACAATCCAGCATCCGTGGGCGAAGAGCTGATAGAGTTTGTTTTCGTGTTTTTCCAAGAAAATTAAGATATAATTAAAAAAAAAAATACTAATTAACAGATCAATTGGTTATAAAATACAATTTAATCGGTAAAGTTAAAATTTCGTTTGATCTAACTTAAAAATTGACGAAATAAAATTAATATATAAATATAAATATTCATCCGGAGTGGTACTAATGTATGACGAGTTTGCGCGGTTAAAATGTACGCTCTATATAGTTGACAACGAAATAAATGCCTTAGGTCCGATTACTGGTCGTTTACGATCATTACAATTATTTAAGTGTGACTGTTACTGGGTATAGTGTCCCTGGGACGTTGGTATCGTTTCCTCTGTTAAGTAACAAAGATAAAAGTATATATTTTTAATACATAAAACTAATGTGTTCGAAGTCCAACTTACATTTTTGCAACGCTTAAACTCGAGCAAAAACAATTTATTAACTTGCCTTTTTTTTGAGTAATAAATTAATTGTTGTTGTTGGAAAAAATAGGAGAAAAAATTTGAATAATCATATAATGACCGGTTGAGAAAAACTATGTGCTAATTGTATTTTATTGAATTGATTGAAGAAGTAGTTGTTTCTTTTTTAATATTTTCATTAGCTCAAAAATATTATTTATGATTTTGTTGATAGAAAAAATATTTTTATTCAAAAGAAAAAAATCTTTAAGTAATAAAATTATTTTTAAACTTTAATAAATAGAGAAACTAAAAATTGACAAATTTTTTTTCTGAATTTAATTAATTTCTTTATCAATGTTCAAAACATAAAATGAATAACAAATAATTATTATTTTTATTAACTTATTAGAAAATTTTCTAATTCCAAAAAAAGAATCAAAAGTGTAAAAAATATAAAAATTGATAAATAAATTATCACTTGATTTAAGTTCAATAAGATATTTATTATTTATCTTAAGTGAATCAATCATTTTTATAATTCCAGCAACCTTGTGGGATTTTTGTTAAATCTGAATTAAATTTTGCGACAATCATGACGACAAATGATATAAATTAAATCATCATGATTTCCTTCGAGAGAATGTAATGGAGAAACTGGAAACTGAGTGAAAGTATTACTGGCGTCGCAGGTGTAGGTAATCCAAAAAAATAAAAATAATGTTATAAGATTATTTATCATGGGACAAATTTAAGTCCTTCTTTTATCATGTTAAACTTTAAATAACTCCCCTTCCGCCTTTAGTCGGTACAAACCTTTTTTAACTCCCTTTAAACATCATACAATCTTTAATCTTTTTTTATTTTCTTTTCATCGGGTTGCCGATTAATGGCGTTACATCGGTCGAGCCATTAATTCTGGCCGCTTTATACAAACTTGAGGGAAACTGGTTTGCACCCAACCGAACCATTTCATTGGATCCACAAGGGCGATATCATATTTATATATTTATATATATTCGTATCACGGGGCCGTGGGAGGTTTATTTTAACTCCTTAATTCTTGTTCTTACAATTTTCGATATTTTATACCATAACTCAATCATTAACGACTTCTGGATTTGATAAATAATTATTTACCACTTATTGCTTGCCCTACTTATGTACGAGACTGATTATTAATTAATTAATTAATAACTAGCAACCTTGCAGTCACTATGTGACTGCCGTGACTTGTGAACTATAAACAAATAAATTTTGCTTTATTTAATAATGACTTTTGTTAAATTGCACTATACTTTTTCAATTATTGACGTTTTTAAAAATATAAGCTCATCCCGATGTTACACTCATCAAGAGCTTTCATTTGAGTACCCACATGCATTTTTGATATATTTTTCAAATATACATATATATAATATATACAAATATATATTAGATATGAAAAATTGATGTGGGTAGTCAAATGAAAGGTTTCGATGAGTGTAACATCGTGATGAGCTTATATTTTTAAAAATGTCAATAGTTCACGAGATACAAGGTCATTTCTTAATTATGTATCTAGAGGTAGAGCGTTTTCGAATGCAGCCTAAATACTAAGGCACAACTCCAAGTCAAGACTTTTCCAACGATACCAAATTTAACTATAAAAACCCATTTTATCATATAAATACACTGGCCACAAAATTTTGCTTATTCTCTTAATAATATAGATAATAATAATAATAAATAAATGATGATAAGAAATGAATATAATTGATAATAACTTACATAACTAATCATAGGAATGTTCCTGGACTGAGCAACTATTGCCTCAACGTAGCAATTTCCTTCGGGTCCAAAAAAAGCCGCAACTCCCTCGCAAATCATGTCGATCATCGCCTTTGTTGCCTCAACGGTTTCTCCCTTTGTGTCGTTCCATCGCATCACCAGTTTGACATTTGGTAAGAGGTTTGGATCATTGTTAATCTGAAAAAAAAAAAAAAAAAAAAAAAAAAACTCATTAGTTGACTGATTGATCATATATGATTAATTTTACAATTTATTGAAGTTTGGTCTTGTGAGATGGAAGCCGAAAGCCGAAAAAAATAAAAACGGCATTCTATTTTAAAATATTCGCGGCCGTCCCCTGTCTAACATTATGCGACACGCACTGCCTTCACTCAGAGTCGCGTATTATGTAATTTAATGGGAATAAAATGTGTTAAACCTGAGCATACGCGAGTGGCATGCAAATGGTCCGCGTGCCATACGTGCCCCACGCTATATACTTAGACGTCTTTCTACATTATTAAATATATACTACAAAAATGTATAATAAATCTAAGTGTAAGAGTTAATAAAAGGGTGAATTGTAGTACGGATTATTTTTATCTTACATAAAAATAGAAAATAATAAATTTTACTGAAATTAATTGGATGAAAAAATTAACTTCATTCAAGCGAAGAAATCTTTAATCAAGATCATTTTTAAGAATTTTATTATTTTGAAAAGTTTTTGGATAAACACAAAATTTACTGGAATCAAGAAGAATTTTTTATTAAAAAATTTTCCTGCTTGACTCTAATTTTTAAAAATAATTTCCTCACTTATAAATTTTTTTTTTATCGAATTAATTTTTTTATCAGTCTACATATTTTTTTAAATAAAAAGTGAAAAATCTCAAGTTAAAAATGAGAGAAAACAGATTTTTATCGACCCCAAAATACTTCACTTGATTTAAGAGAAAAAAGTCGTCAACTAGGAAAATATTTTTGAAAAATTTGATCTTGAATGTAACAAGAAATTTTTTATAAGTATTAAGTAAAATTTACTCAATGCAAAAAGAATCTCTTAGTTCGAGAATTTTTCTGTTCGATTTAAGAAGGTAACATTTTTTAAAATTATTTTTTGAATTTAAAATTTTTCTTTTGAATTAATTTTTTCTAACAATATATTATCTTAAAATAAAAAGTTCAAAGTACCTCATTAATAGAAAAATTTAAAACGAATAAAATTTTCTTAAGAACCAAAATAAATGTCTTCATTTAATAATTTTTCTGCTCCATTAAAAATAATAAAATTTTTCAAAATAATCATCTGGGTCAAAATTTTCTTTTCTTGAACAACGTAAATCTTCTGTATGTTTTTTAAAAATAATCCTTCAAACATTTCTGCACAAAAAAAATTTATAAACCTCAAAGTTATTGAAAAATCAAATTCAAAAGTTTAAATTGCTGAAAGCAATAAGTTTTAACAGAACTATCGGTACTATTAAATACATAACACGGATAGAGTTTAAAATGATGTCGACACAAATGCCGAGTGTACTTTCCCTTGGGCTCACCCGTTACGTCCGGCTCGTGCATAGATATCACTACCGGTCGGTTATTATGCAAATCCGAATTCCAACAAACAATATTTTTTTATTTCTCTCTTTCTCTGCGTTACTCATATTCTTTGGCGGTAAGCCCTTTTCTGCCCTCTCTCCCGCTAAATTTTATCATTTTCCCCCTCGTCTCCTGCTCCATCCTCCATCCTCCTCCCTTCTCCCTTCTCCCTCTATCCACCCTCTCTCTTTTATCTCTGGGCTTTGGCGGTATACACAAGACTCGCTTGTTACGTTCTCACACGACCGATGCAATTTACATTTCGCGGCTTTCTGACTCTGTACTCTCGTGCCTTACCTCCAACAGGAAATTACTTGAGAAGATAAAGCCAAATAAGAATGAAAACCCGGATTTTTAAATATTGCTTCAAACAAAAACAAATAAAAATTACAATGGCTTCCATTTTTATTAAACTTTCAGATTTTAACCATTTATTTAATAATTATGTAAGATAAAGATGCGTAAAATAAAGTACGGAGATGGATATTTAAATTTAAAACTTTGGAATATTAAAAAAATAAGATGCACGGAATGTTGATGACACTTTGCCACAAGAGGAATGTCGTCGATTGCGATGACGATCCTTAACAACAGATGTTGTATTAAAGTCAATGTGGTGATTATTATCCACTAAGATTACATGTGGTACTGTTATTTATTTTTTTTACCCCAACTATCCTTTTGTTCTTTGTTTTGTTTAATTTGTGATTAATGATTTATTTGTGATTATGATTAATGTTAATTTTTTAGAATATTAATTAAATTTCTTTGAACTAAATCATAATTACATATAAACTGAGAACCGAGTTAATCAATTTTTTAATCTAGGTTTTTTTTGTTGAGACAGAGTTTTTTCTTTCGCGAAGAAATAAAAAAAAATTGTTTTTATTAAAAAATTGGCGCTTGAATTTTTTTGAATTTAAAAATATATAGCCTCGCAAGATGCTGACCTGATTTTTACATAAACGCACTAAATAGAAGAATTTATTAACTGGAAATCAATTTATTATTTATTTGGAAACAACTTCGTTTATTAAATGTAGCTTATTGTTTTTAATCTTTTAATAAATACTTTTCTAAAGAAAAGTATATTTATTAACGGTTAATATATTCTTTAGCTTTCCGTTATGAAAATCAGCAATTACGTAATTTAGAAATTTCTGGTCAGACGATTTTTAAGTAAAAAGTTATCTTTTGGTGCTAAAAAAAAGAATGCCGAAAATCGAATTAAAATTGGTTGATTCATTCAACAGATATCGAAATAAAAAATTTTCAAAAAAGTTTTTCATCAACACAATTACTAGCTAAAAGAACTCGAAAAAATTGTGCTCTAAAAAAAAAATAACTTGATTCAGGAAAAAAAAATTCTTGAACCAAGAAAATTATTTTAAAGATTTTAATTGTCTTGAATCAATGAGAAAAATTCTTGAGTTAAATAAAATTTCTTAATTCGAGAATTTTTCTTTTGAATCAGGTTAATTTTTTTTTTTCAATGCTCAAAACTTTATAATAAAAAAATTTTCTAGCGTTTTTATATAAGAAAAGTGCTAATCTACCTGATCTAATGAGATTCTATCATCTATTGAAGTTATAAAAAATCAAAGTATAATTTTTATACTCATATTTTACTCAAGGATCTAAACAAATAATCGTTAACGGTTAATAAATTTTATGTAATAAATGATTTATAAACTGTTAATAAATATTTATTAAATCATTCAATGTTAAAAAATCATTTATAAACAGTTAATGAAGCTTATTAAATTACAACAAATCTTTATGTTATTATGTGATAAATATGCAGTTTAGCAAAACGCTGGAATTTTTTTTTTTATCAGCCTAAGAAAATATGCAGCTTTTAGCAAAATGCTGAGCTGATTTTTTACAATATAATACTCTAAAGCAAATAAAGATCGAAAGTTATCAAAACTAAAGTATCATAGCACTGACTTGTGAAGTTAAGTATAGAAAAATATTGTTTATTTTTTTTGAGACAAACGAGTCGATTGTATAATGAGGTATATAAATAAAAGTTGATCGTCACGAGTGTTGTCTGTCAGTGCCAAGGTTGAATTGCGACTAATAGAGTCAAGACAGCTGGTTAGACAGATACCAATAGCAATACCACAGGCAAGCCAAGGTTCAATGATTTTCCTCAATATTTAACAACATTTTTATTCGTTTATTTGCTTAAATATTTACGATCCAGCGATAAAGTTTATTGGCAAAATGTGGAGTGGAGAAGATTGGATAGGTGAAGATTGATCAGAAGAATAAGAATAAGAAGAAGAAAAAAAGAAAACAAGCTGAGTTAAGTGTATCAATTCTATTTATAGAGTTGGGGGATATTATGCGTTTATTATTATATTTTTTGGAGGGTAGACCACGCATTAATATAAACGAAAACGAATAAGATAAAGAACGTGTCAGTGAAGAGTGGGAACGAGCCAGGGGGCATGCGTGCAGCTTGGCGAATCATCAACTGAGTAAAAGGTATTCAGTATTCAGTATTCAGTATTCAGTATTCAGTATGTATATGATAGAAGTATGGGTTGGTAGTTGGTAGGGTTCCTGATCTCGGTCTCACTCTCAGGACCGATTTCTTCTCACGGTCTTGGGGTTTCGGGCGTGGGCGGACCAGCACGAGAATAAAAACAAGACCGAGAAAAATAAGTAAGTTAAAGAGGAGAGGAAAGAGGATAAAAAGAAGTTAAATCACGTAAGGAAGAGCTGCAGAAGCTCGGAATTAAAATAAAAGGAAGCCCAAGTAAAGGTCTCTTTGGTTTTTGCCGCTTCCCGATCACCGATCCCACCGATACCACTCACTACAAGGTTCTCTGTTTCTCAAGCTGTTGGCTACTTAAATTATATTGATTAAAAATCTTTTTACTTTAACTTTTATGTTTAAATCAACACTGCCCTCTCCCGCTGAGTACGGCGCCAATTTTTTTTTCTCACGGAAGTAGGTACTGAGTCCAAAGAAAGAGAACTTTAAGTTTTTTTCAGATTACTTCTCATATTTTCTGTCATTTTCCCAGACATTTTTCAGGTAGAAATTGACTGGGCTCATAACCTGTTGGAATTCGTCTTAAATTAAAGTTGTCTATATTGAATAAATTTCTAATCCTAATAGACTGATAATAGCAAAAATCAAAATATTAAATCTTTATTGAATTATCGCTCATATTCAAGAGCATCTGAGCTCTAATTATTTTTCGTTCTGAAACTTTAAACGTTATTTTTATTGAAAGTGTATTTTAAAAATTTGTTCGTGCTGAAACTCAAAAAGTTATTGATCGATTTGGCTGACATTTTGCTTTTCTTAATATTATATTCAGAAGGATATACCTCAAGTTTTAAAAATTTCGTATAAAATGACTACTTTTGAGTCATTTAGAAAAATTTCTTGTCAAATATCGATGGAAAATATAATAACAAAAAAAGAAAACTATAATAATACCTCATCAATAGCCATAGACATAGCTCCAGATATTGCCAGCCCCTGTCTGTCTTTGAGACCACCCTTGATGGCAGTAAGATACCCGACGGTAAGATTCTGCGGCTTTCGACTGGCGAGTCTTCTGCTGGTGACTGGAGCATCCGACTGCAGAGACAAGCCAGAAGAGCTCGAGCTGGTGGACACAGATAGGGGCGCCAGGGTATTGTTCTGGAAGAGCGCCTTGTCCCCCACGACATCCGTCTCCACTTGGGCGACGCAAGAATCGAAGACCAGCAGCAGCAGCAGAAGCAAGATCGCTCTTGCACTTTGGCGAGCACCTGATATTTGAAGGCGGTGCTGGTGATGCTGATAGTAGTGGTGATGACGATTGTGATGACGGTGATGATGATGATGATGATGGGTCCTTGAGTAGTCAGGCAAATGCTTCTGGCGACGGGGAGGCCTGCGGCGGCTCGGTGATGGCGGGCCGGGGCGCATGGCCGCCGCCGCCACCGGTCAGCGCCTCCCTTCTGCTCACCTGAAACATTTAAGATTATTATTGCAACGATTATTGGGTGGAAATATCTGAAATATCAAAGTTGTTAAAGCCTTGATTTATCAGATCTTGGATTGAGACTTTGTATCTCCGATCGGTAACTACTGTGACGCAATTTTAAATTAAGAATATTCAATCGATACATTCTTGAAATTCCGCGCTTGGTTCAAGATGTTCAATTTAAGTAACTATAGAAAATTGAACGCGCTTTGCACGCTTCTGTCAAAATGTTTACTATTGACAATTTAATTAATCAATATTTTCATAAATTATATTGTACTCATTAATATTTAACCGTTACCATGGTAACCGTTGCCAAAGTGGTCATCATAGCAACGAAAAGCGACAACAATGAAAACATCATATCAACTTTTTAATAAAGGAGATCCTACACAGTAAAAAATTTTTGTGTTAAATTAAGCCAAAAAAGTGTTAAACATTTAACATACAAATTTTTAACACAAAATTTTTTGACGTATTGACGCAAAATTTTTTACTGTGTAATAAAATTGTTATTAATTTAACAATGAAAAAGTTATAAATATATGATGGAAGTTTTATTGAATTTTATTATTGAAAAATAACAAAAAGCTAAGTTATATATGGAACAAAATGGAAATTATTAGTCAATGTTTCTTAAAGATAGTTTGGAAAATTGAACCTAAAAATTTTGAAGAATAATAATTATTATTGAAACTTTCATAATTTGATATATTTAGATGTATACATAAATCTTAAAATATCTGTTCATATATTTTTTGGAGTATCTTAGTATATACAGGCATTTATATTTTTTCGGTGGGACCAAATGCGAACACACTCACGCCCCCTGGTCATATAGCGGTAGCATCACGAACTAAAACCTCCAAAAATGTAGGATTTCTCTTCACCAAGAAAATGAGTTTCAATACGAAAAATTTCTCAATCACTTTTTCTTAACCTTCTTTTAAAGTTTACCAGTATAAATCAAACATATTAAAAATA